TGAAAGGAGGTTGTAGCGAGGTGGGTGTTGGTCTCTTCTCTCAAGTAACAAGTGATAGGACAAGAGGAAATGGCCTCAAGTTGTGCCAGGGGAGGTTTAGATTGGACATGAGGAAAAATTTCTTTCCTGAAAGAGTGGTTAAACATTGGAACAGGCTGCCCCCAGGGAAGTGGTTGAGTCACCATCCCTGGAGGTATTTAAAAGACGGGTAGATGAGGCGCTTAGGGACATGGTTTAGTGGACATGGTGGTGTTGGGTTGACTGTTGGACTCGATGATCTTAGAGGTCTTTTCCAACCTTAATGATTCTATAGGCAGAACATCTTTGGAAGTAAGCTATTTCTTACACAATTCATGTGTAAACCATGTCAGTTTCTCACGGTGCCCACGCTTTCTCATATATCAGAAAGTCAGGACAAGCCCAATTGTGAGTTTTGGAAAAATTCCTAGTGATCAGAAGACAAACATAGAATTGAAAATTTAACAAAATTACAATGGGAAAACTTTTAAATATTTAAACCATGTATTTGGAATATGACTGAATTTTTAGTTCCAAATCTGTATTCTCTTCCCAGTCATTTCTGAGTAATTAAAAGCTACAGCCAAGAATAAGTATAACAACACTTCTGATTACATACCTGAGAATTCAGACTTTCATCAGCAATACTGAAATATATGCCACTTGAATGTTGTGCAAATTTAAGTTCCATTGAGGAAAACTCCAATGGTGATTTAAGTACTGTTGGAAAAAATAATTGAAGATGTTTATATAGCATTATTTTGACAAATATTTCCTCAAAGTACCTTCATAAAACCATTGTTTCTGCACGTTTGGCATAAATGTTTCTCCCCTTGTTTTAAAGCTGTCATCTTCTTTCTGTTGTTCCCATGCTATATACATAATTACTGTAATTTAACTTTGTCTTATTATGATCCTTAAGTCACGTTAAAATTATTTAAATTTTGCATCTACCAGACTTACAGCATCTCTCCTTCATATAAAGATGCTATAAACAGAGCGCCACGTGATCTTCCTATTGCAGATAAATGCATTTACATTTGTGATGGTAATCATCAAAGACTTGAAAGATTTTATAAAAACCAGCATTTCTCTTAATGTCATATAGCTGGAACAAAGAAACGGTCACAAAGGATGAAGTTTAAAGTGAGGATTTAGAAAAACAAAGGTATATATCCCCACAGTCTCATTTTGTTTCTTGATTAGATTAAACACTGGAAATGAACCTAGCAAGCATACAGTATCCTTTTATTAAAATCTGCAAGTTTGTTTCACACTCAGTGAGGAAGTATGTTGATCAAATCTCTTCTCCTAAAAAGTTGAAAGGATTTCCTAATCACATATCTCACATTACGTAAACAACAATACTATCCGTACTTCTCTAAAGCACAGGCATATAAACTCTATAAACTAATATTGTTTCAAAGTAGGAATCTGCTAAGATTCCTTAAGATCCCATACATCTGCTGGAATGCTTCCACCAATATGCAACTATGCCACTCATGAAGTCCTCACCTCCCATAGAAACTGCCTGTACAAGGAAAACACAGCACGACTGAAAGACTAGGAGGGAAAGGAAAGGAAATTATCTACCCCATCAAAAAAATTTGAGAGATTATTAAAAAAAAAAAAAAAACAAAACCAAAAAAACCAGCTGAGGTCATTACATTGATAATATGTCCTCTTCCTTTGTGTCTGGCTGAGGTAGGGCTTGTGTCTTTTGTGTCTTTTCCAGTTGACTTTTCTGTTTTGTTTCTTTTTTTTTTTTCCCCTTCCTCCTCTTTCAGTGCTTTCTTACATACCGATAAGCAGTCTCCAAGGGAAAAGTCTTACAAGTATTTAAGTAAGAGACCTGCTTTCCTTCCCAAATCCTGAAACAGTCTACAAATGGTGTTTTTAAAAAAATTCAGAAAAAGATCCATGACAGATTGAAAATATATTGACCACACTGAAGTTAAAAGACTGGGCTGACTACTCCAAGATTATTGTGATTCTTTTCTCAGGGTGAACAATCCCAAGTACAAACATCGAATATAAGCTATTGATTTAAGTGCCAACGGCACTGTCCTGTGCAGTCTGAATCCCAGTCAACCACAAAAACTGTCACAGAAAAAAAAAATTTATAAGAGTGGAAAACAAATGTGCCATAAAGCACACAATAGTGAGAATTAGGCATATTTGTCAAATCAGAACTTTGAACTTGCAAGATGCATCTTGCCCATTTTTAGTTTTTAAAGTGATAATCTGAAATGATGAATCAATAACAGACATAATTTTTAAGTTGTCAGAATGTAATAAAATTATCAAGTTCTTTTTTAACAGTAAAAATAATTTGGCTACTTGCCAGCATCTCTATGATTATGTGAAATACTTAGTGGTCAAGACATTTATTTAGACTTCTCTCCCTCATCCCAGCCCATCAAAATTCCCAGTAAGAATGTAATTCTAATACTCAAATTTAAATAGAAGCCACACTTTATTTTTTCAACTATTTCTTAGACTTGAAAGTATTATATATTCACTTTAATACTATGAGTACTTGTTGTTGGCCTATACTGGTACTTTCAAGAAATTCTATGTGGCAGAAGTCCAAATTTGTGATAGAATTTAGATAGGATTGTCATGTATTAGCAAGACTCACTGAGTGTATCAATTCATTATTCCACAAAGAAAGAGAAAAGGAAACAAACATTTTATTTTTTCTTCAGGTTACAGAAATCACTTCTACACTAGAAATTTGTCACTTTGATTCATGATTTTTTTTTACTTAGAGATGTGCTGTCTAATAATCTCATATACGTATGTACATTTATCTTTATTGTACACGTTCTTAAACTAAATATATTTAGAAATGTTTAATATGAATCTACTTCCATCACAGGATCTAAAGAAGGTCTCTCAGATTCCTCTGATATTTTAAAAGATCTCAAAAGTAAGACTTAAGTTAAAGCCCTACAGAGAGGAAAAAAAAAGAAAAAACCACAAACACAGATAAAACCTAATAAATTGGAGTTGCTTTTACTCCACATTATGCGTTTAATTGGCCAAGCCTCTTTCAGTGCTCCCAAGATGTTTAAACATTACACAAATATCATTCCAGGAAGACTGTCAGCACTTAAGTCTCATCTCAAATTAACAGTGACTACATATTAAAAACTGAGATGAGGAATGCTAGCGGATTCAAGTATTCACAATGCGTACGTCTACATGACTATAAGGATCAGACAGGAGACTAAAGAGAACCACAAATTACTTCTAAGAAAAGCAGAGAAGAATCACTTAAGATATCAATTTCTTGCTGCAGGCAAACGGCCTGTAACTTTGGCCATTAACAAACTCTGACAGGCCAGAAGAGTGCAGTTCTACACACAAAAGCAAACAGAAGCAAATGGACTAAATTACCACCAGTTCTCTCAGATGAGATCAGGGCCAGTGAGAAGCATTTTAAAGGAGTTTTAAACATAGCTAGAGCTCCTAGTTTTGACAGAGTAAGACTAGAAAAAAAGAGTATGAGTGGCATACTACTTTTCTACACTTTTCTGATGAACTGCTGTAAATACTGGGGTCTGCATGGTAAGGCCTAGAAATACTAATGAATCAGTAGAAACAAAAATGAGTTTTGGTAAACTAATTTTTATATAAGGCAAATGGCTATATAAAAAAAAACATATTTTCCCAGCATGTCATAATTATGTATAGAAAGTTCAGCTTTCAACATATTTAAAAATACAAATCAAAATTTGAAAATTTTACAAGTTTCCAAAAAATTTACAAATTATACAATTATCAATCAAATTTCATTTAAGTAGTAATTCTCTGCAATTAGAATACAAGCAAAAACTTCACTACAAATATAAGTGTCCACCATCTGCTTAAGTCCCTAGTTTACCTACCAACTGCTTTAACTCTACAGAATGGAACAGTCACAGTCACTGCCTGTGGCCGAGGAGCAACGATGTGCTTTACAGATCCAACAGAAGTTGCAGATACAGGGCTTGGCTGTGTCAATGGGAAGTCAGCCTGAGGAGTATTAACTGGAAGAGTGAAGTCATATGCTGCCACCTAAAGGACAAAAATATCATTATGGTCACTTTCCCAAAGAAATTGTAGTACTTCTTGAACCATCTCTGAGTGGTATTACTATTTCAGAAGAATTATTGAAATTAACTTAGAACCTGATCATGATATTAATAGGATGGTTGTTTATTAGCACCCAGTATCAGCCCTTTAAGTAAGCAGTGGCCAGCTATTTTTTCCCCCACTGAGGAAAAAACTGTATGCCCGAAAGTATCAGGGTTATCAGCACAGATACAGACAAGGCTTCTGGTAAGTCACTGTGTTGTGTTCCTCTCCAACTGCTCTCCTGAGTGTAAAAAGATTGGAGCAGTGGCCCAAATGCATAAGCACAAGCAAAGAGAGGGAAAACAAAGCTATATAAGTTAAGAAAGCCCTTCTCAAAAGCCAAAGAGAAAAGGTCAGCTGTTATGGTATACCCAGCATAAACAAAATGGGCTGAGATCAAGGTGGAGCATGAGTTAAAAATCAAGAAACCTCAGAAAAAAAACCAACCAAACAAACAAAAAAAAACCCCACTCTTAAAACCTCTGTCATTGAATGCCACTGAATTCCAGAAGTCCAAATTCCAGTGATTTTGATCCTAGTTTTATCTCTGCAATCACATCCTCAAATAAGTGGGGCTTAGAATTTAAAGACAGTATATTTTATATGAAATCCTCTTTTTTGACAGACTGTGCACTTGAGAGGCCAAATTTATTTCACAGTGCACTTTCAAAGAGGCATTTCTTGCCTCTTGCTCTGTTTTTCCAAGGATCAACACACTAGAGCAGCATGTTCTCCAGACAAAAAGGTATGGATAACTCTGGCCTATAAAATCTGCATGCTGCTTAAAATCTGCAGTAAAACCAGCTATATAAATAAGTTAGGAATCATTTAAAAGCTTTCAAAAACTGCAGAAAATAGTGTGTCATGCTTCACTTTCACATATGTGGTAGCGAGTAGAATATATAAACGACAGGAAAGAAAAAAAAATATTTTGTCCTACGCCAGGACACGAGGCACATACCCATCTATAACAGAACCAACACAGAGCTTAGATAATGAGAAGCAAGTACGCAGCACTTACAGTGTTTGGAGTTCCAGCACGGTTTGTAACACACAATTACGAACTCCTGGTGAGCGAGATGTGTGCTGAACCTTGTGGAACATTTTGTGTATTTGTGCTTAGCAAGAGGAAAGCACAGGATGAGGGGAAGTTTTTCTAGTGAGATCACCATGGTCCCTCGATTTATATTGATACTTCAAATCTGATAATGATTAGGTTTTATAACATAGAATTGGCTTTTCGAAATTAACGTGGTGAATGCCATTTAAGATTTTTTTAGTAACTAATGCTTGAGATGTGGCTTAAACAAAGATTGAGTAAAAATCTCCTGATTTGATTTACATACTTTTCTATTTTTAGTATCTCAAGTCACCCACATAAAAAACTTGATCAAATTACATCTTCAAAATATGCTCTTGTGGCATAAAACCACATAATTAAAAATTGGACTGAAAAGGATTTTTTCTTCATAGTGTGAGAAGTTCCTTTCACTTCAAGGTATGTGTGAAATACATAATTTCACGTCAGTAACAACAGTGGCTCCTTACATTTTTAGAGAAACAACTGACTTTCTTTTCTTATAGTTGAAAGTAATAAGCATTGCATTTCATTGCTGTGAAATCTGTCAAAAAAAAAATCTTTTAAAACTTTTCCAAAAACATAAGAGAAGTTTGATAGAATAGAGCTGAATACATTGTTATTTGGTAACTCCAGTAGCTGTTAAAATACATATGTAAGAGAACTGTAAAGTGAACCAGTACCGGGACCGGGGGGCGGGGATTTTACAGGACTCTCTAGGTCAAGCATCTCATACAACAGTCACAACGCAGACACAGTCCAAAGATTCTGTCACACTCCTTCGGCTGTACGACAAGTTTGCTATATTGGGTATAGTGTACCCAGCATACATCTTTAGAAGTGTAATATGCAAAATGCTGCATAAATAACTAACTTATCTCCCAAGCATTATGGGTCACCATAAGGAGAACAGAGAGAAGACGACTGCACGTCTCAGTGCACATCTCAGGTTCTGAGATTCCTCCCAGCCTTGGCAGCTCCCTATAGCCTGCAGGTACTTCCCTACATGGGCAATTCTAACACTTGAAACACCATTGTCAAGAATTGCAGTAAAAAAGTGAGCTAGAAAATCCTTCCATCCCTAGCACGTATGACATATATAACAATATAATGACACTAAATTTTTAAAGTTTGGTAAGATTAAAATGCTTACTCTATAGATATCATTACATCATTGGCTATGCAAAAAGAGTACAGTCTAGCACTGCAATTGTTCTTCATCAATGCTGTTATGTTGAGTATCTTTAGGTCGGACAACAAAAGGTGGAATCCCTTTATCCCTCTCACAGAGCAGCTATTCAAAACTTGTTTTTCATCCCCACTGTCAGGAAAATTTGGTTTAGTCTTACTATGCAACAAGGGTTTTGTTTGCTAAGAACTGGCAAACAAAACCAAATATGTGCAAGACACTTAATTCTCTACATGATGTTCACTAAAACCTACATTTGCTTTGAAGTACAACGGTGCAAATTCAGAGCCAACATAACTCATAGAAATGTAATTATATATTTGAAAACAAATCATAGACCTTTAGTTTTATTCATACATATCTTTGCCTCATTTACTGCACATTAACTAACCAGTACTACAAATGATTCTTTAAAAATTCTATATACCTAGAAATCACATTATAATTCATACACATACATACACACACACACATTACTGAAACAGAATTAAAACAATTTCATTTTTTTAGGACTTCACTTTCAAGTAGAATCATTATTTTTCCTTTTATAGGTATTTTAAGAAAAAAACTTATGATTCATTTTTAATCTCTAAAATGCCATAATGGAAAATTCTCTCTTGTAAGATTATATACTTGAAAAAATTAATGACAATATTAAGAAAAAAATCCTCATACTATTCCTGGACGTGCAGTTGCTTTTTAAATAATCTACGAATAATTAACAGTTATTTATCTATTGAGATATTTTTCTGAAGCTGCATTTAACTTCATAAATCAGAGAACACAGGGAGGGGCAGGAAGCAAGCAGCCTAGAGAGAGTTCTTTCACAAACGCTCAAGGTTGTTTATATAATTATAAGAAATATTTTTCCAGTCCTGATTTACACTAATTATGCACGTTAACTGGAAAGGAGGCATCATCTGCAAAATGGTAGTCTTAGCAATTACAATACTTCAAAAGAAGCTTTAAAAAGACTAGTCACGTGAAACAAAGGAGCTTTTTGTTATGCATTCACGCAGAACACCTCCAAAAGATACCAGAAAAGGACATGCTTGTGTAGGCTGCCACCAGAAGCTAACAATTCTTTAAATAAAACTGATATTCTTGCAAACTTTTATTTAGAGGGCATTTTAAAACACCTTCCAATTTTTTTTGCTAGAATTGCTAAACAAATAAAAGTTGTTGATTTTAAGAAATCTGGCTGATCAAGAAAGCTCTGATACTGAAACTCATTTGAATCTATGAAATAGGTTTGATACAAAGTACATGGTAGGTCTAAGCCCAACACTGCGGAATGAACACAGCTGAACGCCTTCCTGCCTCAGGTCTAAATACTTGGTATACTGAAAGAAACAAAAGGGGAAACAACTACCCCAGCATCCATGACAAAATGGTATTTTATATAAAATTCATGCATAAAAAATAAACTCAAACACAGTTGTCAGGTTGAGGGTGGGAATCTGAGAGTAGAAAAAAAAATTAAGTTATTTTCAAAAAACACTTTTAAAGCAGTTACTTCGTTTCTACCTTTACTAAGTAGTCCAATACAATAATATATTTTATGCTTTATAAAATATATTTTGCTAATTGTTATTGTAATACAGTGCATATTCTCAAGGTTGAGTAAAAATTTTGCTGTCAAAACCAGGAATCATATAGTTTATTTAGCACAAAGAATATGTGACATCTCCCTAAAATTATAGCACTTGCTTTCACAGTACAACTTCACAGGGAATTGCAAGTAAATCAGTAAGCTAATGTATGACTTAAAATTAAGTTAAAACATCTGTGAAGGATAATACTCTTGTATTTATCATATAACAACATGCAGACTATTCAAATATCTTGAAGCATTAAAAGTCATTGAATTTTTGTGTAAAGGCCGATTTTAAAGTTTCTTTATTTATAGCACTAACAACATATGGATTCAGCAGTGATACAAGGAGAAAGAATGTAATGTACATTAAAAAAAAAACCAGTTCGATTCAAATTTAAACCTAACTGCAAACCCAACAGTTTCTGTCCTGCAACTCTATACAATATACATTCTCAACCTCCCCTCAGATTTAACATGACCTTTTCTTTAAAACATACTTAAATCTTTCATGCAGCCTAAATTCCCTAGCTTTATATCACAGATAAGCAGCTTTCCACAATGAATAATGCAACTAGTGTTCAAAGCCATCATTCAAAACACGGAAATAAAACTAAATCTTTCCCTTGTATATGGTCAGAGATGATGCACCAGCAATACCCTGTAATTCCACAGCTGCAGATCTTCCACAGAATTCATTTCTTACACCATGAATTCTGTTCTTTCATTTAAAAAAAAAAAATTACGTCATTAAAATGCAAAAAAAAAACCCCAAACCACCTGTCACTTCTCTACAAAAAGCTTAAGCAATAAGCTCTGACAGGTGTGATTTGCTCCATTTCTCAATCAAAGGCCCTCGGAGGCTTCATTATTACACAGCTGTGTATTTTGTCTTTTTTCCAAGATGCGTAGTTGTGTGTGGGGGGGGGGGGGGGGGGTGGGGGGGGGGAACCAACAACAAAAAAACCAAAAAGATCATTTGGAAGCAGTACACTCCTGCACCTTGCTTTGCCTGCTTTCCTTACCAGACCATTCATGACACTGCTGCTAGCAGGAGGATCATCCTGCCTGGAGAAACACAGTAACAGTTGAGGAACAAAGATGAGCAAATATTTAAAGTGACCACATGCTGCCTGTTTCCCTGGCACAAAACCAACGGAATGAGGTGCTCCTCACTGTTACCTGGACAGGCAGCTTGCGGAAAGAGAGCCATGGTCAGAAAAGCCATGCTTCTATGGTTCTTGGACAGTACGATTTAAAAAATAATCACTGCTAGCAATCAATCAATAAATAATATTATTAGTAATAATTCTTAGCTCTGTCTCTGGATAGGGATGAGGGAGAGGGAGCTACAACAGATATTTGGCCAGATAGTCATGGGGGTTTTTGTTTGGTTTTGTTGTTAGGTTTTTTGGTTTAATTACCAGAATTTTTTTTTCTATTCAGCTCTGAAATGAGAATCCTGCCTAGACCATCAGGCATTCAGCTGGCTAAACCTCCTTACACTGCAGTGAAAAAAACCTAAAACGTAATTTAAGTGTCTGTGAAATAAAATTATATCAAAACAGAAAAGAAAGCAGCATACAGCCGGTATACAAATATGAAATTAAGAAGTATTCACTAGCTTACCTATTTATATATATTTTTGTATACTGCTTTCACTTATAGCTCTGACTTTCACAGCCAACAAGCACCAAGGTTAAACTCTCTCCAGTGAGGCAGAGAGCCCTGTCATCTCTAACACCTTCTGAGACACTGGAATAAAAGGAAGGCACAGCCAGACCATGTCTGAGCAGCATTCTAGCCTTATCTATAACGTGACTTCATTTTACCACTTAGAATATAGGGAGAATTATCTCAAAAATTTTTAGATATTATTTTATAAGCATGCCAATATAATTCATCTCTAAGAGCATCTTTTGATGTCACATGTGTTTGTACATACAAAGTTTTAGTGAGAATTGTAGGAACTATTCAGAGTTCCTATTTATTTACTTCGTTTGTTGATTCGAAGCTTTTTGAGGCAGAAGGAAAGCTATTGCCAAGTTGATTTTTAGCAGGAGAATTCAAGATTGCATTCAAGAGTAAATTACTTGAAACCTTACGTTAATAATTCAAGTAGTTTTAATAAAATTTTAGAGCATATTAAAATAACTTCATACTTTTGTGATTTTTTTTTATCAATGCTTCTGAATTATTTTGTTTTAATTTTTCCTTAGTTCTAGCATCTACTTTCTTAGCAATAACATCAATATAGTGGGTTTTTGTTGGTTTATAGGGTACTGTTGTCAGTAATGACTACAACAACAGCAGGATGTTTTAGTAGAACCAGAAGGCGGACAGAAAAGAGCGTGACTCAATGGGATACAGAATGTTTGTAGCAGCTGGGAGGTAAGCTGGCTCAGAGCAGTTGTCCAGAAAATGGTGATGAGATCAGAGAAACAGCTGTTCAAGTGCAGAGGCAGGAAATAGCGCTTGCAACCATGAAACCTGAACAGGGGAAGCTCAATATACGGGGAAGATTAGGGTTTTTTCAAGACTGGAAAGTCAGGAAAGGGAAGGAAGAAATCTGGTGAGAAAAGGGGGAAATCTAGATGAGGAAGAATGATAAATAACTCTGATCCAATGGGGAATGTTTTAAGGATCAGTAACTACTGAGAGTTTCTGATCACAATAAGAGATGCTGGTACCTGGACCACTTCCTTAACACAACTATGCTTTTTATTAGTATTCTACTTTGCAGAAGTTAAAGAAAAGCTACCGCGTCCTGGGGGGTACACATACTTCCAGATGCTTCCTTTAGTCATGCCATACTGGGCAACACATTTAGTTTTCAAAGTGAACTTCATTTAACATTATTCAGCGCCACTGCTGCCAGCTATCAATGCTGCACTAACTCTCAGTGATGTTAACTTGTGACCACCAGTGGGCTGTAAGTTGCAAGTGTGTTTGGGCATGTCTTGCCTAGCAATAAATAAGCTGCCCCCTGACAGGCAGGCAGTAATACACGTGGAGCAGAAGGGAAGCACTGGTTGTACAGTGAGCTTACCCAGCACCGAGGGCAAAGGGAGGCAGACAGACAGTGAGCACACGGAGAAAGGAGAAAGCTATTTCATTAAAGCAGCACTTATTAGTTGGTTATGACATAAGGTGCCCCACGAAAATTTCCTTTTTGAATTTCTTTATTCCCTTACTTCTGAAGGAAGTTGTTCTGTTTGCCAAAAATTATTCTCAAGACTGGAAAAAACACTTAGACCCAGAGTTTGAAAAATTAAAAAAGGATGAAATCAGAAAACCCTATAGAGAAATCTGTAATCAACAGATGCAATATATTCTACAGATTTTTTATTTTTTCTGTTTTTTTTGTTTGTTTGTTTTTTAAGACGAGCAGTCACAAAACAGATCCAGTCAAATGTAAGAATTATTTTTTTCTTCCCCAAATTTATATCATAATTAAAGCAGACTGCCAACTGGTGTAACCTTGTCTTCAGTTAGATAGTTACCGTACCACCAGTATCAAATGACAGTTGGAGATGCTCATCAATAACAAACAGTAATACTGAACAGTAGTTCAGATGACAAGTGAAATTAAACATAAAGAACCATCTACTATTTCAGCAGTCTTCAGAAATATTAATTTAGTTAACCACCTGAATTTACAGAAGTGTCAGTAGCAACATTTTTACTCTTAATCCATCCTGCAACTTAACAAGGAAAGAAAATAGTAACAGAGCTCAATTGTAACAATGGGAAATAGAGTACTGGGAGGCAAATAAAATCCCTGTTTTGATAGTTGGGTGCGGGGGGGGCATTTAGGATTTTAGAGAGTTGATATTTCACTAGTCTGTAAAAGGGATGACTAACCTTCCACTACACTCTTTTCCACTACAGTGGAGAATAAAGGATCACTTTGTACAGCAGCACTATCGCCAGAGAAATCCAATGCCATAAGCAATAACAGAGCTGTCAGATTTCAGGTTATGGCTCCCATCAATATGTGTAAGTTTTAGACCTTATATGCAACTGTGTGCTTTTAGCTACTGAGATTAAAGGAAAAAAAATAAATGAAAACTGCATCTGCAGTGTAGACTAGAAATACCTCTGTTAAATACTTCACAAGACTTAAATAAAATTGGTTTATGAAAATAAATTGAAATTGAGGCCTTGGAAGTTAAACTATTGTTATCTGTTAAATCTTATACATAGTACGCACCCTTGTATCATCCATAGAACAATACTGCTAGACCCTATTCTAGTATTTCTAGACCCTATTTATCATTTTTAAATTGGTACATTTGTGGCATTCTATTTTTATAGAACTCCTAACTGAATTTTCTGTATAGATGCCGAAGCACCAAAAAAAAAAAAAAAAAAAAATTTAACCAGTAGCTTAACTAAGCTAAAGTATTAGTTGTACTAGCATTACCTTATTCCCATCTAATCCACAAACAGGGCGAACTCCTCAAAAGTAAGTATATTCTATTCCAAAGTAATAAGATGATACAAAATGAAAAACAGGAAAGAACGGAAACTTGGGAGACGTGGAAAGTTCTTACAGAAGGGCATTACAATTTTAGCAACCATTTACCTTCTCTGTTTAGTGTTAGCTTCTAGTAAGCCATAGATATAACTGCAGTTACGAAGCAGCATTTTGTTTCTCATTTGTATTGACAATCTTTCAAGTACAACAAAAACTTTAAAATGCTGTTGAATACTTATGCTTCTAAGCTGAAAAATGTTAAAAGAGAATGCTGTTACAACAGGTTGCTTTTGTAAATGAAAAGGGCATCTCAGAGGACTTTACTGGTAAAATAAAAATCAAAAATAACTAAGTTTCGAAGCCTGGCTGTAAGAACAGTAATAATATATACCTACTCATTAAAAGTTCAATCAATCTTTTCCCCATTTTTGTTTTACATGGCTCTACACTATTTTCTGTACTTCTTTTTATTTATAAGGGAAGCTAGCCTTTCCACATTCCAATTTCATCATTTTAAGCCAAAAATACAATATTCCTTTGTATTAATTATTGTTTAACTGGTTTGAATTTCACACTTAGCAAGAGACAGCCCCTAAGAAGTACTGTTATAATTACTAAGAGTCTTACCACTGGCCTTAGTGGGGCCAGAATTTCGTCTTTGGAGCAAAAACGTGCTGTTGGAATATGATTTTACAATGCATAAATGCAATTGTCTGACAGATGACTTGTCCCTTTGGGACAGAGCAAAGCATTTCTAGTGATGCTTGTCCAACCCCTTCTTAAGAGTCTTCAATAATGGAGATATCTTCTCAGGTAATTTATTCCAATATTCGAGACTCTTTGCTACAACAAGTTTCTATACCTAATCTAGTCCACCTGGCATCATTTAAACCCACTACTCATTACCCATCTACTGCAGTGAACAAGCATCTATAAACTATATTCCACAGAATACTGAAAGTTAGTTTCATTTTTTACACAGTTTGTGCTTTCTGGACTTCTGATCATTTCCATTGCTTTTTTTTGAACTTTCTTTCCAAGGGAAATTTTCCCATTTCTTTCTTTAAGCATAGCATCCCAAATGGGGAAAGTGTTCCAGCTGAAGTGTTATCAGCACTGATTAGAATAATTATTTTACTTGCTTTATTAACATTATTCCTATTTATATAAATCAGTATGGTGTCTGCCTCTACTCTTAACTCTTGTTCAGCTTGTGATCTGCAATACCATACACATAGATTACTTCAACAGCATTCTCTAGTCTTGCATTTCTATTATTGACCCTTCCTACCTAAATGAAAATGTCAGCATTTTTCCTTACTGAGTTCTTCTCCAATTTGACAATAGGTCACTGGTGACATGCTGTATGTACCATTTTGCAAACAATTACATACTTTCCTAACACTGTAGTAAGTCTAAATCTGACCACCTTGCTTAGGAGAATGTTGCATCAGACAGTGTCAAGATACTTAAAGATAAGACATGTACTGCTTCTCCCCTAACCTCAAGGACTGCTGTGCTGTAAGAGGAAATTAATATTGCTTGAAATAGCTCATTTTTTATGAATCTCTTGACTCACGTTCTGTCAGGAAAAATCATCTCAGTAGTGACTGTGTTATAAATTCATACCATCAGTTATTTCACAATAGCTTCCATTTGTACACAGAATCTAAGCTGACAGTAATAAGAGGAAGAAAATTAGAGTGTTACCAGACACAGCCTGTAATATGCAAATGTTATTTGAATGATGCTTTGAACAAAGGAATTCCCTTTTATTCAAAAAATAAAGTGCTGGGAAGGAGGAGGGGGGGAAAGTGAAAAAAGGATATTGTTGACTCTTCTAAGATGCATTTATTCATCAATGATACTCATGTATTTTTTTTAAGATAAAAACACAACTAATGCAACAGGTTTATGAGCTGTAGAAGTGGTACCCCCAGCTGCTTGTCCTGAAGCTGGTTCATAATATCAAAGACTAAGTTTTCTTCCAGTTCATTGTTCTCCAAATATGTGGAAACCCCAAACCCTCCATTCCTAAAGCGTTGTTCAATAGGTTAAGATTTAAAATTTGCTATAGCACTATTGACACCTACTGCCAATAAAATGCTATTTTCCTGATGTAAAACTAACCCATAAAGTCTTATATCTTCAATTTATTTCCCTCAAATAGCTCAATCAGAAAGCAACTTTGCCAATCTTTATAACACATAAAACTCCTCTACTTTTCCAGTCCCTCGGTCATCTGAGAGTTAAAGCATGAATAGCTGCAAAAAGAAAATGGCTGCCAGTTTGTTGAATGATTTAACGAATGCGTGGTAAGCCATTTCAATTTAAGTTTATACCTCTTCCATTTTTAAGTCATTGAGAAAGTGTGTTTTCTTTGTGTATGCAAACATTTAAGGAAAGCAGCAAAAGTTACATAAAGGTTATTTCAGAACTTGTTTTCTTAAGAATTGGATTACCATTATAAAACTATTGCACACACTAAAATGTGCATCTAAAATGTCTATATTCTTTCACCATAGAAATATCATAGAACATTATTTTAATTTAGCATAATCACCATTGCCCCATAAACCTACCTCTTTTGGCATGAAGGACAACAAGCATGGCAAAGCTGACTTTCCCTTTAAGTTAACCGAATACAAATAAGGCTTTGAAGAACAGCAGTCAACCACTGTCAAACAAAATTCAGAATGAAATTACAGATGTTATTACACTAAATATCAACTTTGTAATAGTTGCAGTACTTCAAAGTGATTTCCAACATAAGGTATCTACGTATCAGTATGGTAAACATTTCTCAAAGTTATGAATGAGTACAGTATTTCTCATAAGGATTCCAGAGGTAATTTTGAGAAGTGTTAATCACCAGCAACTTTCATTATTGATCTGGGTGAACACAGTATTTCAGAAAAACACACCAGTCATTTACTTTTGAATAAAAGTGTTAAGCAAAAATAGTTAATTAAATAATGAAAATTAATACCACAGGGAGAAAAATAGTTGGCTGAAACTGTTTTTCTAAATAACTTTTAGGCATAATCTGCACTACAGAAGTTTACCAGTAAGGCTTGCTTCATTTTTCAGACTTTCATGTCCAATTTTAAGGCACTGGCAGAAGCACGGGTTTCCAGTAAACAAGGTAACATTCCTCTGAGATCAGTATTCATCCTGGAACACCAGATCAGTATTCATCCAGTATTCACCATTTGAACAGTACTGGACCTGACTGGATGTCACATTACTTGTTTCAGGCACGAACTCTGATCTAGAAATCATGTGCAATGAGTCGATTCCCATGCTGGCTAGTTGCCTGTTGCAGACAGTCTTACAGTTCTTTTCCAAGTTAAGATGACTGACTAGGAGCCCTCACCTTCCCTTTGAAGTCCACCACATTGAAAGAAAACCCCTCTGTTCTTGTCAGATCATTCTTTGTCATCATCCACATATAGTTCTACATAAAGATACAACTAAATATTATGATGCTGTCTTGCAAAAGAAAGAGTCCTGATTTCCTGAGTTTGCAGGGAAAAGAGACCGTATAAGCATAGCTGCAAAATTCTCTCATGAATAAAGATGTTGGAACAGCAAAGGAGATGCCAGGACTGAAGTAGAAAAGGGATAAGCAACAATGAGTGAAGAATAAGAATGTGCACTAGTTCTATCAAGAAACAAAGAATAGCAATCTCATTCCACATATTGCCCTAATGTCATTCTGAATTGGGGATCATGCAGAACAGAGGTCCTGTGATTAACCTGCAGACACCCTGTACCATTAGGAAAAAGAGAAGTCCAGATCCTTATACTGATGATAAATTAACTGAAAGGTAAACATTGTCAAAACAGTGGGTAAAAGTCCATGAATAGGAAATTAGTATAGTTGTTTGGCTTTGTTTGATTTTTTTAAATTGTTTTTTATTTTAACTGGTGAGAGGGTATTCAAACTTTTTTTTTTTTAAACATACCTTAGCAACTATAGGAAAAAAAAAAAGGAAAAAAGAAAAATCTACAGGCAACCTGACATCTTCCAAATGCTTATTTTTGGCAAATGTCATTTTACAGGCAAACCAAAATGTCTCCTCTTAATTTATATTAAGCAGCACTTTTAAAATAATTGCTTTAGGTTTTCTTAAATCAGAAAATTTGTATACCAGAAATAGTCTGACAGATTTTCTCTTAGCATTATCCATTCTTTATTTAATGAAAGTTCTGATATAGCAAAAGCAAATACCTGAATGGTCATTAGCATTCAGTTTAAAATCCTTATACTTAGAAAAATCAAACTCCACTCTGGTACACGCTTGTCCTTTGTTCTGCAGCAAAAAGGGAATTGATTTTGTAGAACCGACATAAACACCACCAAAGTCAAATAGTTCCTGTAAGTTTAAAGGAAAAAAAAAAAAAAAAGAAAAAAAAAAAGAGTCAAAGCACTATGAAGTCAAGTTTATAATTGAACAGAATGTGAAAAATATAATTGTTCAAGGATTCCCAATTTATAACACAATAACAGTCCTGGTTAATCAATTGTCTTGCATAACCCTTATTTTTAAAATCTTTCCAGGACATAAAATGCAACAGTTTAGAATTCAATACGTAAGTCCAGTTACACCATCAGGAAAGTTTTCGTCATTCAGTAAACAGATCAGTGGATTCCTTTTCCCTTATTGCATTTTTTTTCCTATAACTACCTTAATGAAATCCTCTCCCTTTTAACATACTTTTTCCAGATTGTCAGGTTCAAAAGCTAAAGCTGTTAGCTATCATTTAGTGCAACTGTTATATGTACATTTAGTTTTTAATTTCTCTTCCTAAGCTCTTCTCTCTGATAATTTTCTCAGGAAGTTAGTATAGGAAAAAATGAAAAATATGAAGTAGGGATGAGCCACTGACATCTAGAAAAAGCAAAACACTATCAACCTTACCAATTGCTACAATTTCTTCATACTTACCACATCAATGTTTATTTCAGGGATCTCTACAAATCCACCAATCCTAAGCACTAGTACTCCAGAATTTCGCACTGCTACCTAAGTGAATGGACAACAGTGTGATTGTTGACAAGGTCATTTTAACATAACTATCTCACCAAATCTGTCATAATTACATGAAAAAAAAGTTAAAAAAAAAAAACCACCAAACCAACCAAGCCCACAGATACAGAGCGGAGAGAGACATTCAGCATAATTTGTAATGAAAATGTGAAAATAACTGCCCTTATAATATAATGCATTTTTGTAATGGAAATATAAAGAGGCAAAGAAAATGCCTTCATTTTCTAGAACATATATATACAGATTCCAGTGAGACATGGCTTCAGAGAAGAACCAATCATGCCTCTGTGGCATACCATATCTGGGATAGCCATAACTGTCAATTAAAAAAAAAAAAACCACCAAACACAAACCAACAAAGTTTTAGGAAAGACCAGTCTTCTGCAGACAAAAATAATGTTGCAGGAGGCTGTATCACTAGAATGAACAGTTTTCTCCAACAGGAGGAAGCTCAGTGGATGGGTTAGATCTATTCAGCAGCTGTGAGGATTGGAAAGCGTACCACAACACAAATTGCTTGGCAGAGGTGCTGGTACAAAGTAGATACTATTGTTCTGAGCAATGCTAAATCTGTTTTAGAAGTGGAAAAAAGAAATGTATACTAAGTTTAGCGAGCATAATGTAGGCAGCCACAGAAGATGGAGAATCCAGGATTAGAGTCAGAAAAGGTAGCAAAGTTCCGCCCCATGATAGCATCCTTTTTCCCCATTCTCACTTATCTGAGCAAGGACAAGTTCAGGAAGCAGGCATGCAGAAAACAAAATAGTATTAGATGTTTATTGCACTCCTATTATCAAATCAAATCGACTAGTAAATCCACAAAAGTAGTCAAGAAATTAAAGACACTGCAGTATTCCAGTCCTGTTCCTCTACAGATCATAAAAACTGCAGATACGTCTACGTGATCTTCTGAAGACAATCACATTAGTTTCAACAGCTTGCCAATGGTGTAATACGAATCAGCACAAACTGTGAGGCTATTTTGATACTTCAGAGCAGGACTGAGACCAAAATAACAGAATAGGTTACAGCAGCCATCAACTGCTGTAAGAAAACTTTTTTCTTTTCTTTTTTTTCTTAAAAAGCATTAGAACACTGGAAATAAAATCCAAAAGATGCTCAGATGTATATCTCCATACATAAACACACAACATAACACTCAAAAGACAAGTTCTTCCATTTTTTAATACCTCCACTCTTGTATCAAAACTCATTTTTGCATTCGGAGTGAAACAGATTTTGAGATCAGCATGGCCTCCCACAGGTACCACCCCTTCAGAAGGGGTGATCATCATTCCAGGCAGTGGGTTTGAATCAAGAACCTTCAAAACACAAAAATGAAACATTAATAATACTGAAAAAGGTGGGGGGTTTGGGGTTTGTTTTCTTTTTAAAAAAAACAAAACAGTATATCTATCATGAAGATTTTACATTCTTACAAGGAGAACTTTCATAATATATAATGCTAACTTGGGGCAAAAATACAGGTAAACAAAATAAAGTAACAGATTCCTAAACATGATGACTGTCAGTTTCTACTGTGAAATAATTTTAGCACACCAGCTGGAAATGTCACATTCTGGTTTTCAGGTGGTTTCCATGAAGTTATTAAAGTTAAGACTTGCTATCTAGCAAGCCTCCAGAATATTCTACAAAGCAGTTTTTCAGTGACAGATGAATTCATCACTTCTTTTTTGACATTCACAGTAAGAAGACAGGACACGGGATCCTAATACTGTAAAGTTCAGTAATAATACTAGGAATAAATATTCAGTTTACCCACAATTGAGGTGGGTAATTAAGGACAAAACAGAATTTGTTCTTTTCTAATGTACTCCAAACAGATAACTTTTTAAAGTATAGTTACACAAGTGATAATGACCAAGACCAACTACCCATTTCTTGGCTTAAGAGTAATTGTGGAGGCTTAAAAGGCTGGGTATGTTTGTTTGTTTGTCTTATCGATTATGCTGATTTTATTCTTTCAGGCCCAACCTCCAAAAATGTAGTAATATTACTTGTTATTACAATGCTCAGTTGATAAACAGAGAAATACGGTACAAATAAAAAAAAAAATCAAGTTTCTTAGTACCATAATAATGTAGTAACAAAAATTCTGCAGATTCTAATGAAAATTATTGTGCTTCACTAAATAAATACAGCAAATTATTCTGTGATCAGAACTAATGAGGTTAGGTTTCCTACTAATTTGTGGATCATGTCTTTACCCACTCTGGCATCCATCTCATCTCTTATCCAATTCATAATACAGCCTACCTTCCTCTCAGATGTTAGTCTAGCAAAGTAATCACATTTGCTAAGACTGGTCTGGGTCTATGCATGCACTGACTGGGCAGCCAGCATGAATAAGATGACTAGCCAGTTTGCTCTGTCTCTCAAAATATAAAAACATCCAAGCTGTAACTGCTTTTTCATAGAGTACACCAGTATGGGGGTTCTACCCTCACCACTGGTTTTCATGAAACTTTCAGAATCTTTTAGACCATTACAACTTCGCTTGTCTGTTGGTTCATCTGTCTATCAATACAAATTTGACAGAGGGACAGAATTCCTTTTCACAAAAATCTTGTTTCTTCAGAAAACCAGACAAAAACTTACATAGATATGTATCTAATAACTGAGAACACAAAACTGTAACATGACCTGATAAAATGAACTCCCTTCTTCCTCCCCACCCCAAGAAATTAGATATGCTAAAAATAATTTTAGCTTACTTGGAAATACGCATGATTGTACCCTATGTTTTGAAGAATGGCTGTCTTACAAGTTGATAAACCCATTGGACTATGACTGAAGGGTATCCTTTGTTCCATAAACTGAACTTTAGTAGTACCGAGCTATGAAAAAAGAAGAGAAAACAAGCAAACTAAATAACATATTACTAAGCACAAATAAATAATTCAGCCTAATTTTCTTTTCATTACATAACGAGCTAATATACTTGTGGAAATGTAGAAGTATTCAAATAGACAAACACAGTTTAAATGTAAGACAAGACTTACTCAGTGTATTGAGCTTACCTAGATTCAAAGTGAACAGACAACCCCAGAGATATTTCTGGGCTAATTTCAAGACAAATAAAAATATTTTAATCAAATGTATTTTAACAGCACAAGCGCCGTGATTTTTTTTAATCCTAAATGTGTGATCAGGACAAGATACTTCAGAGATTTTAATAGCAGTAGAAATGCTAATATTCTAATTTACACACATCCTGGTTTACATATGGCAGTTTCGAAGGCTTCAAAAGAAGAGGAAGAAAAGAAAAAAGCTACTGGAGGAAAAAAAAATAAGAGAAAGTAGGCCATCAAAAAGAAGGGAAAAGTTTTCTTGCCTCCCAAAATGGAAGTTCTAGAGCATGCAGCCAGTAGAATACAGTAAAAAAAAAAAAAAAAAAAAGTGTCTCCTCCACACTCCCTGGCATGTAACGTAAGATGATAAATGATTAACCTAAGCCGAATTTCACTGTTTAGAAGACAGAACACTGCTTTTCAAGTTATCAAATACCATGTTCAAATAACAATCCAAAATTACATTACAGCCTGTTGTGACCCTGAAGCTCTGAAACATACCTTCCCACACACACCTTCATTTATATTCTTTTAATACATATCTAAAGAACTATCATACCACCTCTCAACCTTTGCTTGGCTAAACTAAGCGAGCCAAGAACAACGATTACCACTTAATATATAAGGACCACTAAGTTGTGGTGCCAAAGGAATTATATCTTCAAAAGCAAGAAAAACGCAAATTGTCTTTGTCTTGCCTTCTCCATCATGTCTTTCAAGCAATATTCTTTTGTTAAACATGTCAAATAGAAGCCATATGACATTAAAATAATTTTCTGAATACATAACAGAAATATATTTAAGAAATTACTTGTTTAAAAAAACACACATTTTGCTTCTCTAAATCTGCTGTATGAATTGTTACCTTTGCAAAACATTTCAGCTTAATTGTGTTTCCTTTACGCACACACAAGTTGAATTCTCCTGCTTCTGGAGAGTTGAACCCTGGCTGCCAAACAACTTCACACTCCAGATCTCTATAGGCCTCCACAAAGCCTAAATAAATGTGCATAATTTACATATTATAGCATATACATGTACAATTATCAAATTACATTGTATAATAAGAAATAACATAAGCACATTAAAGTGAAATGACCTTCTATTACTGAAGACTAAGCCTACATTTCAAAGGTGTTGAACAGTATGCTGAATTAAGTAAAATTAATTTCCGAATTCTCATGACAATTGCATAATCTGTTTATTAGTATCCTGCAGTAAAACACACTCAAAGTTCACTCGTATTTTTTAGCCATGAATTATTCAAATAGTCAACATTTAAAAAAATAAAAGAACAGACTATCCTTCTTGTAGAATAACAACTTTGGGAAAGACCATATACATTTTCTTGCTTGCAATTGAGTCTGAACTCATATCAGCAGAAGTATCTTTTCTCAAGAATAAGAGCACACGAAGCTCCTGATCCAGCCAAACCTTTTTTGAACTATGTAATGCCAATTCAGTTAACAGTTAGTTCTTTAATGACGGAGCTCCAACATACTCCTGCAGAACACTGTCTTTCAAAGGAAAGAAGGTAAAAGCTAATGTCTCACACGCTTCTAACAAATATTGATCCATAATGCAAGTGGAAACTAATCCCAGATTGAATTCCATTTGTGTCAGACTGTCTACATCAACTTCTTAGCAGCTTCATTCATACAGTGCTTTTGGAAAATTTCCTATCCTGATGAGCTGTATGATATGGCTAACTGCCATTAAATAGCTGCCTCACTTTTGAAATATCAGCAATCTGTGCTGAGAAGAATGGTTACATAAGTGCGGCTGGCTGGGCATAGAAACAATGAAGTGTACTGAGTACGCACTCAGGGTAGGGCTTAAACAGGGAGTGCTGCTATGGTATTAACACTCTGATCCGATACTACTTTTGAGATACACTGATACTGACCCAAATCTAAAAAATACAGTTCATAGCATCAGCTGAACGTTTGTCTTACTTAACATTATTGACATTTAAGATACGTGCACACACACACTCTACTTGCATGGTATACCTTTGGCTGGCTGTATAGAAAATGCAGTTCCTCTCTCTGTAATTATCCGTTTCCAAGACAATTCCGCCGGGTGGTTTCTGGGATTGTATACCCTGACAGTCGCTCTAAATTCTGTCTCTGCTAGGTAGCCAGGAATAGGATTTAAAATCAGTTCCCTTGCAGACAGCTCAAGTTCAACAGATACTGCTTTTGCAACTACCAGCACATGCCCAAGGTGTTGGTTGTTTATTGTGTAAGTGAAAGATCTGTAACATAAAAATATATATTTCTCAATATTTTTATGTATTTATTATGTTGTAGTCGGAGTAAAATTTATGTGAAATACAATCACTGGCAAGAAAATACTTAACAAAACAACTGAATGTGAACACACAGCTAAGACTGACAAGAGAAAGCAATTTTTAATTGTTTTGCATACAGCTTAAATCATGTCAAAAGTGAAGATCATCCCAAAGGATGATCAACCTCATACAGTCATTTCAGCAGCATTAGTAGAGCGAGAGTGAGCCATCTCCATCCCAGAAGGCTAGAAAACAGTTTGCCTATACATTTACCCATGAGGTGCATCAAAAGATCTGAGCATAGGTGCAGTGATGCAACACTATGCTGGAAAGAGCACAGTATTTTCCATAAAATTTCTCCTAAGAAATACACTGTAATAGCAAACTTTTTTCTCTGATATACCTGTGGCTATATGGGCTTTTGACAGGACAGTTTGTTGGGTTTTTTAAAACCTGAAGAAACTGCTATACTAGAAAAATTTTGCAACGTAAAACTGCATTATTGCAATGTCACCACAAATGAGTGTACACCATTAACAGTTATCATAATTACACTGAGTTTAAACCAGCCACATGATTTTTTTTATTCTACTACTGCAAAGAAAATATGTAAATCAAGACAAAGATAGAGAGTCTTACCTTTTAAACATTCCAAGAGTGTTTGTCTCGAATACAATTGGAATATGAGTCTTTGTAAGAGGAGGCACCACCTGAGACAATGGACTCGTCTGCTGTAATTCATCAATTGCAATCTCAATTTGTATCCATATATGAACTAACAAGTTATTGATGATGTGCAGTTTTCTGGCTGCTGTAGAATACACACAAACATCACCAAAATCCATAGTAGAAGGGCCTGGAATATATAAGAAATAAGATCTTCAACACATTAAAAAGTAAAAGTTAAAGCAAGGAAGCACAACTACTAAAACATTATGATCAAAACATTTTAGTTCCTCAAATTACAGAATTAGTCAGCTAGAACAATCCTGTAGCAGAACAAATTCACGCTAAAATTTGGAAGTAAATACCATGCATGTTCTGTGAATGTTTTCAATAGTACAAGTCAAAAGCCAGCACCAACTTTTATTTCTTAATTCTGTCTGTGTTAGCCAGCTATTAAAATAGGAAAAGCAATGTGCTAATTATTTGATGGTGACAGAATTACCTCACTACTTCATTTACTGCTATGACCAGTTCTTATGCTGGTCTGCAACTCTAGTGCTCATAGCACTAACAAACACCTTACGAAACTGCAAGTACTTTTTGTATTAATATGTTTATCTTATTCTACCTTTCCCCAGGTGTATCAGTATACACAGCTACACTATTCAAGTTCTGGCTTCATTGAACACAAAAAAAGCCCAGAAAGTACTGAAAATTTTCACTTCGCCACTAAATAATTTTACTGAAGAAAAGTTGAGCTTAAAATAGACCAGTTTAAGTACCAAGTGTTGTTAATAGATGAGTCCCTCACAGACTTTAGAAGGTGTTACTCCCCATCACAGAGCATTCCACTGAAATTATTTTGAAGGAGGATCCTGAATAAGTTTTACTTTTTTGGGGTATCACTGTTGACTATTAACTCCCAGAAACATTCTGAACACTCCCATGAATCTTGCTGCTATTAATGCTGGTCCAGATACTATCCAATAACAAGGCATAAGGGTATGAGCAACCCTCATACTACGCTGTATTGATTTCTTTATAATAGGCTGTAGTATGAGCATTCTTCAAAGGAAGCTCTCCTTTTACATGTTCAAGCTTTAGTTAAACACTACTGTAGATATCAAGCTGCCACCAAATTAAGCTATTTTCTATTTAAGGTGAACAATTATGAACATAAATTGTGTTACTATAAATAAGTGCTTTTATAACAACTATATGCATTTAGTAACCAAATTAAAAAATCCTACCAATCAGTATTTGATGAAGCTGCTTGGATGTCAAAGTTAGACTACAATCTTCCTTCTCTTGGGTAGAAGATGGCGTAGCAGCAAGCCCACTCCAAATCTGTGATAAGCACAAGACATCTTCTCAGAGCAGGATCAAAATTCTTATGTTTTTTCTATATGGTAAACACATTATGTTTACATTACTACTCATGCATTTAACTTACTTCTTTGATTGAAGGTTTAGAACCAATTGCTGCCAATTTTCGACTAGTTAATAGGCAATTCTCATCTGAAGGAAGCGTTTTGCACTGTAGCTTTTCCTTGTGAAAATCTATGATCGAGATCTTTGGTGACATAAGCCCTTCAGCTGGTTTAAGGCCTATGCTCACAGAATTATTATAAATATAAAACTGCCTATAGAGGAGGGGAAAAAAAAAAGAGCATGGGAATCTAGAAGTTTGATCATTCCATGTTCTACATATTAAATTATTTAAGATTTTTAAACATAACAAATAATACTTTAAGTAGGAATATTTCATTATTTAAAAACCCTCAAGTACAGAAAATGCCTTGAGAAGTCTTTTATTGTATTGTTTAGGCAAGGATTAACATCTATTGCACATTTGTGGCAATTACTTAGCTAAATAGATTGCAAGCATTATGGCTACCAAAATATGAATATTATACCATGTCTAAAATACCTCTTAAAGAACAATTAAGTTGTAAAGGCAAGCACTTAAAAGTTAGCAAATGCCAAGATTACAAAGCATCCTTTAATTGTATATGTCTGAACTGGACCACTTACAACCTAATTTTCAGAGCAATTAACTTTTCTTGGACAAAGTTCAACTCCAATCAATCAATTTCACCTGCAACCAAGATATTTGAAACTTCCAGAGATCTTACACAGATGTTTCATATCAAGTATTCAGAAAAATTATTACTATGTTTGATAGTAACAGTGAATTTCATCTAATAACTATGAAATTTTCCTTTCTGTTCTTGCTCCTCATGCAATATACCTTGAATATATGCGTTATGGTCATATAAACAACAGTTCACCCACTACACAACACCAGTTCCTTTCAAGAAAGCCATACATCATGTGCATGCATAAAAATAAAATAAATCCAGCTCTGCAGGCCTTGTCTGAATCATGATGTATATACACAGAGCAAGGTAAATTGAGATTACAAGAATAATCCACTGGCATTATTAATTTTTAAATAATGGGTCTTGCAAACTTAACACTCTTAAGGTATTACTTCTCTTGCTTTAGAGGCTTTACAGGCTTTTTTTTTTTTTAATAACTTTTAAAAGTAGAGCTGTCAGTTCTGCTTTTCCATGATTTTGCTCCACAGCATACCAACCAAATACACAAATTCATGAAGTGAGAACTTACCGTAAGATAAGGCTAGAAGACCAATACAATCCTTTAATCTTATCTGCCTTATTCCACAAATTATATCATAATTTACATACTGAATCCATCACTTTGGGTGAGCTAGACATACTAGTTGGAAATACGTACAATTTATTATACAAAAAGAAAGAATCCAACACAATAAATGTTATGTTTTTCCTATTAACCATAACCAACTCGACTTAAAACTTGGCATCTTATTTTAAGCTCCATGCCTCTGTCCCGACATTTCACCCAGGAAGTGATCTCTGAATGTCTAAACGAACATTTGAACAAAACGTGTTTTGAATGCATTATAAATGAAGGTCCCAAGACCATAAGCATTTCAGCATGGGACAAATTTCGGCATATGATTAGAGCCACTAAGTTAATTCTGGACATATATACACATATTTTTCATACGAGCCTAAAGTATTTATTTATCCTTTAAACAAAGTCTTACCTAGCGGCATCTTTCTGTAAACGACGCTGTCTTAAACTAGAAATGAAGTCTGCGTAGTATACCTTATGTGCTTCTTTTAACAGTCGTTCACAGTCAGTATAAGAAAACTCTGGATCTATATAATTATATCTCTCAGTCTTTGTGAAAATAGTCCTAAATATTTAAAGAGAATTGTAGTTTCACTGCTTGTGTAAAATGATTCTGGGTCTTGTTAGAAAGAAAACATATTGATTTTGCTACATATATATTTCATTGCAAACATTCTTTTTATCACAGCCGATTATTAATATTTGACCTTGTAAAGGCAACCATAAAAATGAAATATTGAAACTGTAATAGCTCCACTTGTAGTTTCACATAAGAAAAGCAACTCCAGAAATTTATGTGCAAGAGGCTCAAGGCTAAGTAGAATGCAATGAATTTTAAAGAACTTTCAGCCTGAAAAAAAGTAAATTGTCATATAAATAACCAATCTTGATCTACTATACAGTATATACAAATGTGTGGTTTTAAATATTATATTTGCATAATTTTTACCTGTACTTTTTATTCCATTCACTAGGCCTAATGCTGGCTGCACGGTCATTAGGAAAAGCTATAAGTGCATCACCCTTACAATTCCTGTTTATCCAGTGAGTATGAATTTGTGTTTGGGTTGATTTAAGTATTGCCACAGGTGCTGTATCAGTGCACTGTCCTGTGCCATCAGCTACAAACTGTCCAGTTGCATTGGAAATCATTGGTGTTATACCTTAAAATTCAAATAAAACATGTTACATACACATATATTAGAAAAATATTTCTTAATTTATACTGGTCCACCCAGCAGCCCAACAATCAGTCACCCATCCCATTATGCTTTCCTCAGACAAGAGGGAAGAAGGCATTCAGACCATACTAACAACCAACCACCTTTGCTGGCCTAGATCACAAATACTAGAGCCCAAACCACTGCTACTATGTCCAGCTGTGACGCTTTGTCTTGCACGTGCACATGACTGAACACTGAGAGCTGCCTCTGTCACAACACTGTCCACAGTGTCCTAAAGCTTGTCTTAAGGGCTGCAAACACAGGCATGATTTTTGACAAAGGACTCTCAAGCTATCACAACTAAAAAGACAGGTCAGATCTTTTTGACTCTGGTTTTAGAAAAGCACATATACATTAAAGAAAAAAACTATGACAGAAACTAGGCCATGTGTTTGCTCCCCTCTCCTACATAAAGATACACGTTTAAAACAGCACTATAAATAAGTAATTCCATTCTTCAACTGCCCCTTCCTCCCTCATCTGCAAAAAAATTGATACATTAAACTAAACATATTGGTTTTACCCACTTTAGCCTTACTTTATTCTCAAATGGCTACCAAAAAAAAAAAAAAAAAGACCACACAAAAAACTGTTTTCCATCCTCCAAACTATAGGAGTGATTACAACTTCCACTGCCCAGGGAGGCACAGTTTGCAAGAAGCTTCATTCCCGTCTCTTCCCCCCCTCCACCAAATACAGAGAGGCAAGTACACATACTCATCCACAGAGACTGGGAGAAGAGAACGGGAAGATAGAGAACCCATCTATATAAGGATCTGACAAAAGTCACTTTCCCCTCCACACTTCAATGAAGCTTAAAAGCAAAACACAGGTATCAGTAGCCTATAGAATACAGATACCCCTCATAACCACTTTATAAACCTGCAAAGAGGAGCAGAATGGGGACATTAATAGAGCAAATGGCAGACAAGCATTTAGAAAAGCTGACAAAACTTGAATACTACATCAAATCTTTGATCCACAGAAACATATTTTGATTGTGTTTTTGAAGCAGGAAAACAGCAAGAGTTCTGGATTTCAACAGTAAAACACAGAAATTGCAGAACTTTAGTTTCTCATCGATTCTTGATTGCCATGGACTTGAAATATCTTCCTGAAATTAGCAGGAAGGTCCAGTGGCTCATCAACCATTCTGATATTTGTAGAAAGAACAGCATTTTATCCTGACTTTCCAATTACTTCCTCTTTTTACTTCCCCACAATGCTCTCTCTGAAAAAAAATGGGTATTGCCTTCCTGTTTTTCATTAGTGAGTACATCTTCAAGAGGGCAGCAGTCAGCTAAGGAGTATTCAAGCTCCCCTCCTTATCTACACACAGAAACCAGATGCACCACTCTACAGGACAGCCCTGTTGCACTAGTACTACCAGCAAATGCTACAGCATATTTGATGCTAGAAAAAGCTACGTTTCCCATGACCGGTTTTAAAATCCGATGACGATGACAGGCTTAGTCAAATCTACTGTAAAGCAGTTGTTCACGGGACAGGTTAGGAACATAAGGAACTAATTAGAGACTAATTATTGCATATTCTGAAAGACTCTTTATGCTGGCATAGGCTTCATAGGATGAGAAGAGTCAATGGACATGGGACAGGTAGCAGGCTGTATTAACTGGCAAATTCATCTGGCAGTAGTAACTTTCAAATCAATAAAAAATACCCTGTTATCTTTCCTAACTTTCTGTGCTTTACCCAACCCATCTCTCTACTCACAACTGAAACATACGAGCACTTTGTAATGGCACCGCTGCAAAAAATTGAAGCCTTTATTTCTGATTTATAAAAGTTAAATCATATGACGAAAATTTATGCTTTACTAGTTCAATTTTCGTTAAAATAAGGGGGGTGGGGGGGTGGTGTACCATTATTCTAGCCATTATTTCATACTCTCATGGGTATATGTCATAGAAATGAGCATTTCCTCAACTCCCAAAGAGATACTATTTTTTAAAGACAAACTAAAAATAGTAAAAAAAATTCTCTTTTAAAATATTAAAAATGTACTTTTAAAACATTTTACCACTTGTAACTTATCTTTTTGGCATCTTACCAGGATTAATTTTGAATAGAATGGTTTTTTGTTTAGATTTGCAGACACCAATAAAGCTCAAATATATTTGGTGAAAGGATTTTGTCTTCAAAACCTGTAAATTATTTTTCTCTAGTCCTGTACCAATGATATCAATAGCTTGCTTCACTTTAAATGTTCCTATTTGATGCGGAGAAAATGAAAATATCACATCCTGGAAGAGAAAAGTCGTTATGAGACATAGGAGGCAGAAAAGCAAACAGAAAAGTTTTGTGTAATTCTATTTAATTGAGTCACTTCTCTCCACACTTACTTCTATGATAGGTGTTCAAAACTGGGCTTTGAGAATATGCCAACTGCCACACATAAATTAGCAATATAAGGAAATATAAAACTGCTACACATTAGAACACCAAAGTCTCACTTGCTCATTTCTGGGACAAATTGTTCTCTCTTGTGCCCTGAGTTACAGGTTTGTGAAATTATAAATGTCTCCACATGTGACTTAAATTTGGCAAAAAGTTTCTTCCATTAGAAGATATATTATGTTACTCGAGTATTTGTGATTTTCTGAAAGAAATTAAAAGGATCCCGCAAAGGTTTGAGTATAAATCAATCTTCTCAAGTCAGTAAACCTGGGTGAAGTTTCTTTAGTATTACAATTATTGTTTCCAAATTTAAAATAACACTTGTTGCTTCCTGGAGTACAGGAAAGAGCATCAAAAGACTACATAAGAAGAAAAAAATTATATGTTTGGCTGATATTAAACGTCATGGCTACTAAAATGAAATTGTTCTGGTTTACTTTCAAGAAATTCCACCACTGACCACTGTAAAGCATATCTACATAATCTAAGAGAAAGCGGTAATTACCTTTGCAGATATTTTTTTAATTTTTCCTTTTTCAGGAGAAATATTAAAGTGAGCAGTCTTGCGGAAGCTGAACGTTACTGGAAGAGACTCGGATTCATTTTTGAGCGTGCATAGAACTTGTGTTTGTTCACCCAGGAAACAGTCCATAAACTTAATAACTGGTCCTGGATTAAAAGTTAACATGACAGGAAGCCCAGAACCTGTCAAAGCTAACTCCATGTGATGAGGATGACTCACTGCATTAGACAGACACAAAAAACAAGCAAACAAAAAACCTCACACACCTATTAGCTTACAAACAGAAAAGTCATACTGTAGTTGTATGGTTACAAAAACAAAGTAATACCATAATACAATATGATTTATAATGCAGTTTTCTATAAACTTAACACAGACATGCTTACTTATAATGGCTGCCAGATAACATATTCCCTCATTAAGGAATTTGAGAGTGATCAATATTCACTTGCAAATGCACAAAAGTGGTATTACCAAAGTGCTGGTGACTTGCAAATAGATGGGGTTTTTTTTATGTCCTCCAAATATTTACATTTACAATTAAGTTCTAGGTGTTCACTACCAGCAGGTGTATTCATGGTACACATGATTCCCTCCTTCTTTCTACATACCGTTTGAAGAGCTTTTGGTGCTAAAGCATTAAAGATGTAGGTTACAATAATTTATTTGTATTGATATAAATAAAATAAACACATTTCCCATAAAACTGCTAAGAAGATGAATTTAAAAAAAAAAAATATATATACTTTTTTTTCATTCATATATACATTTCTGATGGTGACTATACATTTCTGATAACATACTTGTGATTGCTGTGGCACCATCGCTGAGGGCCTGCAGATAGCCATCTTTATTCCCAACGGCTTCAAATCTCAGAAACAGTACGTAATCTTGTTTCAGTGATGAGTCATTCACTCCGAAGTCCCTTTTAAATTTTCTGTAAGAGTCACAATCTCTAATTACAAGACGGGGAAAAAAACAAACTACCAAACCCCAACCCACAAAAAAAAAAGAAAAAAAAAAAAATCAAGGCTTATTTTTCATCATCCAGTCTGGCTTCTTTGCTGTTGGTTACAGCTTGAACAAACGATCTTTATACTTCCTTTCAGAAAATGGAACAGTAACAAATTTAAGCTCAACAATATCTGTATGCTTATTAGACTAGTCATTTGATATCTTTTCCAGTCTACAACAGTTTTCTAAACTAACATTACATACATAATAATCACTTATAATTAGAGTTTAAGTAAGGGAAAATGGCAAGAGCACATTTTCTTTTTCTTTTCCTCATCCGAAGAAGAGATGTCCCTTTAGCTTACTTTTTTTTTAATGGAATGAAAGCTCTCCAAAATGTTTCAGTCTCTTGGTGATGAAATACATATATTCTTTCATAATACTGCACTTATACTACTTTATGAAATAAATCTACAGTCATTAAAAAGGCACTTAGTTTGACACTGCAGAACTCTCTCAACAATCTTTAGAGATTCAACATATTCAATGAGAGCTGCGATTAGTTCCCTTAGCAAAATTTAATAAAATTCTTGTTCGCACAAAACAAGCTTAACCAATTCTTTGTTCAAATGCATCCTTAATGTATTATAAAACATCTCCCAGATAATCACTTTAGACTTTGCTTTCTCATTTGTAGTATCATGCCACGCAATTTCTTTTAACACACATAAATACGTAAGAAGTCATTCAGAAAAAAATCTGCAGACACATTAACTTATAATTATTTTCTCTAACACAACTCTTTACAGAATAGCTTAGACCAACCAACTTCTCTGTGTGTGTCTAATTTGGACCACTCACTCACTTTGGACTAAAGCACAATGTAACCAAAGATTTCTCATAAGGTAGCAAGGTTCCTTGATTGGGAATGCACAAGATCAAGGTGGAAACATCTACATCTCTTGTCCTATTTTTGAGGCTTAAGTCTTGTAAAACAGCATCTGCACTCCTCTGAAGATCTGTCCCCTAAAAAATAATCAAAATGTGGAATAGTTCAGCCTGTTCCGCTTCCCCTTTTGTGTTTGATTTTTTTGTCCCTACACATACATTTTCATATCTTTCACAATAAGTAGAAAGACATAAGTAATAGCACTGACATAGTTACATATCACATGGCTAATCAATTTTTAAACATCAATTTCATGTCAATGTTTTGAATTCCCTTTTTTAAAGATGATGCTCACTCAGATGATTTCACTGTCTGAGAAAAACAAGTGAAAACACAGATGCTTAACATTTTAGAATACCAAAATATATTTTGATAATTCCTACTAAATGATAAGAAATCCAGTAGGTCAAGCAAAACTGCTCAAAAAACCAACAAAACAAAACAAAACACCACACCCAAGGAACATACTTAACATTGTTAAGATGTCACACAATGAAACAGAAGTATCTGAAAAACTTAATTCCAAGGTTAAATTATAGTAAAAGATGTGTTGGTTCGACAGAAGTTTCAGAAAGCATATTGATCAGGAAGTAGTATGACATAGTAAACACTACTAGAAGATGAATGTTAAGAAACAAAAAGTGCAAAAGCAGAAATGAAAACATGTTTTCAGCTAAAATAAAAACCAGAACAGTTTCTTACCATCTCTCCTCCAATGGCATTGTCTTCCAGTACTGCTACCCAGTCCACACACTCAGGACTTTCATTGTATAAAGATATTTGTTCAGTCTTTGAAGATCCAAAGTAAACTGGTCCAAAGTTAATGCATTCCAACATGTTTCCACAAGACACTCCTAGAACTTTAAGAACTTGTTCAACCACCACAGCTTTGATCCATACTTCAGTGCAGCCATGACCTTCCAACTCCACTCTGTCAGTAACAAGCAGCAACAGGTAATGTAGAAAAGTGTTAGAAATAATCAGTTTGGTTTATATTAGAACCTATGCAAATCTGAACCAAGTCAGAGCATTTAAATCACTGGCTTTCCAGAGATAAACTAAGCGGAGGCGGGGGAGAGTGTACTTGACAATGTGATACCTAACAGGAATACTACCAGTCAGGAAGAATCATACATTACATGGTGGAGTTTTGGGGAGCTTTTTGAGTTTTCCCCCTTTTTTAACATTTGAAACAATAGGAGTGACATCTCAAAAGAATCAGAGATGTCCACAGATGATACACTGCTCATATTTCTGAGAATCTTTTTATCTAGATATCAATTCTGGCGTATACCTAGTAATTTTCTCTTAGGCAACTGGAGCTAGAAGTTCACCTGAATAACCATAAAAGAACTGCTGCCGTTCCTGCCTGAATGCTTGATCTTGATGATACCACAAGACACCAAAGGACTATAAAGACATTGTACAAATCTTTGTTATTAGAATTCTTCTGGAACAAAGCATATTTGTTCTTGTTGCACAAAAGAATCAAATTCAGTAATATAACTTATTGTTCTAATAGAATCAACTATGCTTTTAGATAGCCTCTGAGCTGAAAAAAATTTTAAAAATAAATCTTTTTTTTTAATATTCACATACACATATGTGAATATGTAGAATATTCTACACAAGGGACCTGGGAGAGGATCTCAAACTCTCTAAATACAGTCTTTCAACTTCCGAAGCATGATTACAGGATTCTCCAAGGCAGAAAAGAAATATCAAAGAAATATAAGAGTAGATTCCTCTGAAAAGAATTTTGCTTGGACATAGAGGCAAAACGCTTAGAAGACAAGGCAAATGTAAATAACCAGGATGTTTTCATCAAAACTGTACTATTTCTCCAAGTCAAATTCCTGTCAAATACCCGTTGTAAGACTTTCAATATTACCCTGTTTGTTTAAATACATACATACACATATGTATACAAATATATTTATATATGTGTGCAAGGCTTGACAAGGAAACTGAAAATTTCATTTAGTCTAAAGGGTATAGCAATGACTACTAAGAAATGCCAAATTCACTGACAGAATTATGTAGAATTTAAGGCAGGGAATGGGTGAAGGATGAAGTTTGAGCTCTGTGTAGATATGCTCTTTCAGTTTAATAGATAAACTATCTACTAGACTGCAGGAGACAGTAGCTATTTAACCAAGACGGGATGAAGAAAACAGTGGTGGTAGCCTGGACAGCAAAGGAAAGGCAGAAAGCATGACATTTTGCAACCAAAAGGTTAAAACTCAGTAACCAAAGAAAGTATCATATGAAAGAGGATGTAACTGTGAGGCAAAATACAGATATTGTCTTCCCTGTCACTCTAATGGAATTTTTCTCCTTTCATTTCATTTCCTTTTCCAGCAGGCTACAAAAAGCAAGAACAGGAAGAACTGAACTTTAAGTCATATATCTTAATAATATAAAAACAAAACAGGAAACACACACACACCCCCCCAAAAAACCCAAACAAACACAAAACAACCACACCCTATTCACTATTATAAGAAAACAGGACTGAAAAGGACTTTCCAGATTGGTATCCACTTCCAAATTCCGGCACTTCCTAAAAAGTCTATATTCACCATTTGAAGAGAGACAATGTAGGCATTTAAAAATAGCCTATTCTTAAAAAGAGTTAGTGGTTGCAAATACATTCCCTCCATTTAAAATAAGATACACCAAAGGACATCATAATGTTTCTGAGAATCCTGAAACACATAGAGCCAAAAGAAAAATAGCAAAGTTACAGAAGCTAAAAAGAGTAAGGAACACGGGATGTGTAGAAAGGTGAAAGACACAAAAGCTCTTGGTTAGTTGTATACTGAGAGATGTGCAAACATCCTATATCATTATGACTTATGAGAGATCTTTAATAACACAGCCAGGTACACAATTTATGCATCGCTGTTCTGTGCAGATAATATAATCATCAAATTAATTTAATAAAAGTAAATGTGGAAAACAGCAACCAACACCTAGGAGCTTAATTCTATTAGATAAACATTCATAATAATAAAGACTAGAATTAATAACAAACAAAAATGTAATTTATAGAGCTGAATTTCTTCAGTTATACACTCACATTATCACTTCTTTGATGATTCTGGGTACATCTGTGCAGATATCCACTTTAACTGTCTTTACAGATTTCGGCTCTACCACTCCACTGGTAGGTTCTATGTTAAGCAGGACAACTCCATCATATGATATTTTAAACGTACCTAAAAGAAACAGAATAATAAACAGAATGTTATACAACAAAGTTGTAGATTTATATTCTTCTATTACGCATTTGGAATTACAAAACACATAATGCAGATACTCACAAGCACCACATTTTCCTATGGAAACAGGAAACATGGAATTAATCTTTTTCAAAACTATTTCTAACAAAGAGTAGATCATTATTTCCAGGGTTTCTCTAGATATTACACCCACATGTCCAATGTAACTTTGCAAGTTGTGATTGTAACAGAAAAGGTACTCACATTCCAAACAAAAGCGAATACATCATAAAGCAGCTGTAAGTAACATTTTGTAAGTTACAGGATATTTTATACACAGCTCTAGGCAGCTACTGTAGCCAGAAAGTTAAGTGCATATTGCAGGTAACAATAGTTTTCATGATTTGGTACGTACACAACACAATTTATTGCAGAAGCGAACAGTGAAACATTTCTGGATTATAAAAATATTTTTTAAATGTGAAAAAATTATTAAATGTGTATTTAACCAGCAGCAATAATTATCTGTCATTATATCATAGATAGCAAAAAATTGTTTCAAATGTTGTAGGAAAAAATGCAGTGTTTGACCTCAGACAACAGATAATCTCTGATATGGGATCAGAATCAGGAACAAGGGACTCGTTTTGTGCATGGGACGACATGTGAAATGCAATCCTTGAGTCACAGGCCAGCATACAGCATTTCTTGCTGATACAGTTTATGTGCTGCCTGTTAGTGCAACCTGCTGTATTACAATTTACAGAGCCTACAGAAACACAGATTCAGCAGCTATTCCTTTGTCTGCCCTCAATACATTCTTCACTAACCACTGCTTTCATTCTAATTTTGCCTGCGTCCAATCCTGCAAAACTCCATCACACAGCCTGCATGCATCACACAACAGTTTATAACTAGAAACAGTTCCCATACAACCTAAGAAATTTCACATCACGCAAATTAGTTGTAGATGCATACGTAATGTAGGTTATCTCATTTTCTTTTTCTAATCATCATTCCTCACAGAAAGAAGTTAGTATGTATGAGTAAGAGCTGATTATATAAACTACATTCTACATTTTTAAGTTGAGCTGGCTAGAAAACAAAACAATTTTTCCTCTGCTTTTTGGAAAAAAAAAATCTGTTCTAACTAGACAGCCATGTGATTTTTTTTTTTTTTATATTGCAACTCATCTCTGTGTTTCTACAATCATGTATTTTCTGTTGGTACAATAGTTCTTGTGGAAATCCATGAAGCAAATGTTCACACAACCTTGGCCTAATGCAAATAAAGATACCTTGTGATATAATAAACAGCTGTACAAGTGAGGAACAAAAATAATTAACTGCTTGAATTTGCTGTTTGAAACTCAGCATAGCTGTCGCCCTACTTCTGGAGAAAGGTGTCTGCAGCTTTGTCCAGTGGAAAAGGCATTCAAATAGGTTACTTGGATCATATAAGCATTCTTATGCTCCATTCTCCATGTTCCTTATACTCCTATATGAAACAAATACGGTTCAATTCCCATCCTAGAGGACTTCAGCTCTGAAAGCACAGGGCGCTTGTAGCTGTTTATTTAATAGATAGCTATTGGGATCACAGAATCACAAAGACAACAAAGCAAGAGCAGACAGGATTTGCTACTATTTATGTCGGGCATAGTAAGCCAATGAGCAACTGTTATTTTTACATCTTTCAGATGGGACTCAAAAGTAGAGCACTCCTAGAATTTGGCAAAGTTCTAAATTCATTTTTCTTCCCTGAGTGGAAACATAGTACTGCCTACAGAAGCAATGGGCCATTTATAGAACCTTTAGCTACGATACTCATAATCTGCATAACCCAGAACTTCAGTTAATTTTTAATTGGCCACTGAAGTGTTAACTTGCATAAAATTACATTTTCCAAGAAAATAAAATATTTGTGTAATTTAATGCATACTAAATATTTACCTGAAGCTGATCCATGGTTAGCAATACTAATCTCTTTACTAATTATTTTACTGTTTGCAATCACTGCACCAAAATTAATCTCTGACTCAATTTCCAGATAACAGCACGGAATTAATCTGCAGAGAAAAGACATGGTTATATTTTCCCAAAACTTGAAAATACCTTTGCATTTTTAAGAAATTTTATTAAGCACTCCAGTGGAAGAGAATTCTCCTTCTGTCCTAGTTCTCCTACCAATGTTTATGCAACTTACTTCAGCAGTATAGCATACACAGGGAAGATACAAAAAAGATCTAGCTATCTATCAAGCTGTTTAACTTTAATGACTAACTACTGTAACTTTAAAACAATACAGGTTTGAACAATTAGTCAAAATGGGACGCAAACATTTCTATTTAATTTTAAATACTTTATTATAGTACAAAGAACTTTGAATAAAACTATCTTGAGCTAGTTGCATCACAAAATAAGACCAAAGTTAATATTCACTGTATTTCATTATCAGCTGCCTGAACTAAACGCAGAGAGAAAACATGCGTGCCAGTTTTAATTTACAGTCTTCTTGTTTTACAGATACTTTATGTGGCTTCAACAGAACTTATAACAGACAGAAGTGGATAATGACACAAGTTATTTCTATTATCTATTTAGGAGCCGCAGCCAGTATGATGACATCACTGTATTGGGTATTGCTTAGCCATAATGAAAAGATCACATTTGCTTTATGAAACTTGTATTTTAAAGGCCCCAATTTCTAATACAATCACACCTCTGATCTCACATAAAACTGTGTTTGAAATCTATTGGAATTTTACATCAGCACAGCAGTTTATCTCCTCTTAACCACAAACAGGAACATACAGGAACAATTGCACCTCATGATCTGCATTACATGCAGTACAGAAGACTAAATGGAGAGGGAAGATAAATCTCCTTGGCCGAGGCAGGTAGACCCTGCCCATATAATCTATTGCATAAGGGAAGGGGGAGGAGAAGGGGAGGAGAAGGGGAGGGGGGATTTAATCAGGAAATGCAACAAAAGAAGTTGTTCTTGGGAATGTTAATACACTGTTTTTAATTTTCTTTAATAATTTACCGTAATGCAAAAAAAAAAAAAAAAAGAAAATAAATCAAAGAAAAGGGCTAGACCAGCAGAACAGGATGTGGCAAAAAAACCCAACAAGAAAAAAAAAACAAACAAAACCAGGAAATAGCTATCAAGATTAGAGTACACTTGAAAAGACTGTAAAAACTTCACATGTTCCAAGTATTCAGACATTCTTCCAAGAAGCTTTGTTAGAAAAATGAAACACAAGTATCTCTTCTCTCAAGATCCAAATATATAACTGCCCAAATAGACAGGAATAAGAATAAATTCTAAGTGCAATGAGATTTTCTAATAGATACGGAGCTGTGCAAAAAGGGAAATAGTCAAGTTAAAGGTTTTGGGGGTTTGTTTTTTTAATACAGGGTGGGGTTTGTTTGGTTGGTTTGGTTTGCTTGTTTGGTTTTGGTTGGGGTTTTTTTATGAAGAAGGAATTTACCCTTGGAAATGCCTAATTTCAAATGTGTTCTTAATATTTTTTTAAACAAAAAAATTAATTCTTAATTATTATATTTCAAAAAAAGAGTTTGGATGCAGAGTTTCAGTTAATCATTTAAATAAAAAAAATACCCCCCACACAAAAAAAAAAAACCCGCAACTGGCTTGTTTGAAACACATTCCCAAACCTTGAGTATTTTCTATTGCAATCAAATATTTACATAATTAAATCATTACACTTGTATTACTGAGCACATCATAAGTCCACGGTGCTGCAGAGATTAAGCTAAGAATGTTGTTTGGTGTCCAAAACTTTTATCAAATACATGAGCCACAAATCAGTATGATTAACCATTGGATCCAGTCTCATGAACCAGGCAAATACGTAACAGCTGTTTTACTTGCAAACCAAACAACTGTGATATTAATGTCAATAAAACACAATAGAAATAAAATTCTCTTGGTGGCATTTTTTACGAAATAAATGGTTACAAAAATAAGTGGAGTGCTACTGCAGTTTAATGTTGTATGGGAAACTAACCTTTCCTACACTCTCAGTCAATCTCATCCCATACTAAAGATTATCTTGGAATGAACAGTAGATGTGATTGAAGGAATCACACAAATTGTTGGCTAAAAGATTAAATCTTTTCACGCTTTTTTCCTAAACCACCAGTGAACTTTTCTTTCAATAAAATTCTACGGACAAAACATGCAGACCCATAATTTCTAGCAATTCATGGTGTATTATATATATGTATGTATCACCCATACAGAAATAAAAGCTGAAAAACAATATAATTTCAAAGAAAGAAGTCTACAAATAAGCTAGTAGGTAAAAGAGAAGTAGCAGACATTTAAAAAGTCCAAATAATATCAGCAACTTCCAAATATTTCTTATACAATAACACATTCTCTTGGATTATATTTATGAATTTTCTAAACTTGCTGTCACATGCTTTAAAACTCAGTTTTGTTTTGCAGATGTACAACTCTTCAAAGGTACTGCCAGTACACAATCTGAGTGACATTCACCAGAGACAATGAAAATAAACACTATATTTGAGTTGGCCAAAAATCAGAATTTGTCACAGAAATTTTATGTGTCACAAAAATATATAGTAATTTGATGTAAATCTAAGTATAGCCTTAAAAATTTTTAAAATCACTTCAATTCTTGATGCTTTAGGAAAAGTAGCATTAGTGTTTACTACATTATTATTGATACATCAGTAGAAATAATACGTTATTAAAAATGTAAAAAAATGCACAAACTTTTAAATAGGAAGTGAAAAAAACACATCAGAATTAAATAAATTCGGGGGGGGGGGGGGGTGTGTGTCTTGTCTGTCTCTCAAAACAGCACATTGCAAATATTACCTTGAAAATATTTTCAGGTGCTTCCATCAAACACCTTTGTGGACATTTCATAGTGATAATGCAATTTTTCCCAAAAAAATCTTTTGACTAGTATTTCTCCATACACTATTTTCTCAAAATGGTTAATGATGCACTTTAAACTATGTTTGCATAGAAAAAAATATTTTATATTTAGTGACCCTTCAGTGCAATAATTGAATATAATCGATCTATAAACAGCAGACAGGCATGACACAAAAATGCATTTGGGAAAAGACTGATTCAAAAAGAATCATAAAGTATATTTATTTTCCAGACAAACACAAAAAATTATTATAGCCTGTCAATTTTTTTCCCTGCAAAAGCCCGTTAAACATGAAAATTTGAAACACTTAACAATCTACTGCAAGTCCTTTCCAGAAAGGAGTCACCGGTAGCATTATCATCCTAAGTGGTCTTATCTCCACAACACTACCCTAATAAAAAATTTCAAAAAATTAAAAATAAAAATTTAAAAAATAAAAAATAAAAATATAAAAATAAAGTGCTCCCTAATCACTTTTTTCTTCTAGGAAAATATACATTGGGAAAACATATTTAGAGACAGCTATTTTTAATAGTAAAATGATCATATTGAATTACTAAGTTCTGTATTACCTTATGAAAAGTCATCCCTGTCTTTCAGTGAAAGAAAACCATTTAGGACTTTCCATTTAAATTTCTCTGAAGTTATTAAAGAAAGCTGTAATAGCATTGTTTAATACTGCGTTCTAAAAGAGTAAAAGTTTACAAACATCACAGAAAAAAAATAACTAATTGAAATTGTTATTTCCAAGTCTTCCAATGATAGACAGTCTTTTGCTAAAAAGAGACAAAATTTACGACTTCAAAACCCCACGTCAGACTTAACTGTGTCCTACATTAACAATAGTACAATATTAAAACTTTAAAAATCCCACAACTTTTAAGATGAAACGAGGAAAAGCAAATCAGTGAAAAAGATCATGACATAAGAGGTAAACAAAATGTAGGAGTAAGTATCACTTATATGAAGGCAAAACCTTGCACATTTCAGGCTAGCATAAGATGTTTGTGGGATTGTTTGATTTTTAAAAACAACTCATATACTGAATAATCTCCATGGAAATTCCTTTCTGTCTGTACATGTAACTTGTAAGGTTAAGATTTTCATAAAGACTATAATTTGCAATAGTTTATGGGATTCATCCGTGCTAATTTAGGCATTTAAAGCTGGACCTATAAACAGAAGTTTGTCATTCTAATTTCTCTTTTTAGACAAAGGAAAGAAAGGTACTCCAGAGCAATTCTCCCTCATCCTCAGATAACACCTAGCCCAAGTCTGATAAACTATATTTAGAAGCTTACTTTTTCCAACCAATATACATGGTATATACTGTATATACAACATATATCCATATACACACACATAGATAGGCACACACAATCACACATGGATTGATGAAAATGATCCTTGAATGTATGACCTTATTCTAAAACACACACCATATTTTTAGAATTAGGCAACACATGTCTCACTACAATCCAGTTTTGCAAATATGGACAATTACTATAAAATCTTTTATATAAGTGGTTCGGTAAGGAGGGAAGACATTAAGCGTAGATGTTAACTTGTCTAATGTTGATACAGAATTAGAAATTATCAATGTTATCACAACCAACTTAGAATAAAGCACAAACAAAACCCCAAACTCTCTCTAGGATCTTAGAGGGACATCATCCCAATTAACTTCTTACCTGTGTGCTGCTCTGAAAAAAAAAACCAATCTTACTTCTGTAAGGAAACTTACTATTTGTTTTCAATACAATTGACAGATTAATTACATAGCCACATGTGACACGTATTAGCAAACTTTCCACAAGATTAAACTGCAAATAGTAACAGCAGCATATGAACTTTTGACCATCGTACCCAAGGAGGGGGATATCAACTATGTCATCTTCTATTAAAAGAAGTAGTCTATCTTGGAGATCATCTTCACTCTCAGGATAATACTCCACAAAAGCTGTAACTTGAAGTCCAGATGCAACAGGTTTTTCTGGATTTTCCACAATCAATTTAAACTGTAATTTAAAAAAACACAAGTATTTTTTTAAATTGTTAAACATTTCTAGGTTAAAAAACATACACATGTGGTTCGTTTTCAGAATAATAAGCAGATTGATTTAAAATTCACAACCAACTTTAAAATATGCAGGGTTTTATAGAGTTTCTCTTCCTATTTACTGAAGTCCAGATATTTTAAGGTAAAACAGAAAGACAGAATGAATACTAACCCATCAAATTATACGGAAGAGTTGGTTTAGCAAAATATCATTTCTAGTCTTTCTGAGAGAATTCTAGCTTTTCCTACTGTTGCAATAAACCTTCTGAAACAACACAAAATTAAGTCAGCTACTACTCAACGCAGAATCTTTTTGGTACCTGAGAAAGTAACAAGGATTAAGTCTCAGTCCAAAGCAGCAACAAAAGGAGACAGCATAAGTGTTTTCTCTAGGTCTGACTGACATTCAGCTGATGTCAACAGAAAGTCTCAATGTACATTGAAAATCTGCTTGAAAGGCCCATGGCACCTCCAATTTTGGGGGTCAAATGAAAGAGAAAAAAACAGAAGCAGCTGACAGAAAGCACCTTTTTCCTCTCTCAAAATATAATTCTGGATTTGTTGTGGTCTGTAAGCATCTGCTTATATCCAACACCCCCAGCACATCTTTCCTTGAACAGAATACACAGGTAACCTACTAGCACGTAGTGGGAAATCCAGCAGTTCCCACATTCCTAGGAAAGCATCACAGCAAGGTCTAGAGCTTCCCTGGTGTTTCAGTCTCCTTACAGTTCACATCACTCTATGCACAACAGGCTTCTGCTCTATATGTCCAGTTTAATTAATGTTTATTTCTGAAAGAGAGTCATCTCAGTATTCTTTAAGTTTTCTGTTCTAATTTATGTTTGAAATACGCAAATATATAATTCACTATTTGTTGATTCTATTGTCTGAGCATCTCCTTCTATTCCTTTAAAATTTTCCTAGCAGTATAAACACTCAGTTAAAGGAAAATTGTTATATAATATGCATCATGATTATGGGTTTGATTTTTAAAGACTAGCCATGTTTTAATTTTGAAGTGTGTAAAATTTATCTCTTCTCTAAAGAGAATTAAACAGCCATGCATATTCATTCTATACAAGGGAAAATGAATATATTGTACTAAGAACTTTTAATGAAACCTATGGAAAACTGTTTTGTGATCTAAGTTCCCTGAAAGGCATTTCTTGGCCATGCACTATGACAGCTCAAGGAAAGTTATTTTTCAGTTCTTGCACTCTATGAATGTAATGCCTCAGAAAATTTACAGATGAATTATACACTTCAGAGCCATGTAATCACAGATAGTGGCATACGATCTGGGAATGAGAAAGGGCAACACAACAGACCTTTCTGGAACTGAGCACATGAAGTGGAATCTTGTCCCCTAACCATCATATTGGTCGTCTCATGCACAATAGCATTAAAATACTCAGCAAAAGGCATGAGATACTCACAGAGGTAGAAATTCATAAGTTATGATTGAGTAACCTTTTCTCTTTCCTGAAATTGACTCTACCTTTCCATTTCTGGAGCACATGAAAAATTGATAAGGCTGATGAAAACTAACAAAACAGAATAAGCCCAGCCCTACCAAATCAAGCACTCTCAACAGTTTCCAGCTCATTCCAAAATTCTTCAGTTACAGTGCAATAAAAATCAAGCTGTCTACATCATGCAAATTAGAAAATTTTAGGGGACGATAAAATGCATACAGTCTTGGCCACTCTTGCCCTCAAAAAGAAAGGCTGACTACTCAGATAGTGAAATTATCCAAGGTACTTCAACTGTCTGACAATCATTTTTATGTCTACCCCAGAATATACTTATTCACAGTTCAAGTTTGGCAACACAAAGCAACGTCAGCTTCTGTTCAACCCCCAATGCCAGTTCAACCCTTTGATACTAATTTTGACGTAATTAACATATAATAAACTAGCTAGATGAAAGACCAAAATAAAACTACTAACCACAGCTGGATTTTGCTGGGCCCACATAGGTTACAAGTCAAGGGCTAAACTGGTTAGAATTGTAAAGATGCATTTGCCTTTAAAAAGTCTGGCTAGGCAATGATTTTTCCAGAACTAATCAGATGCTGTTAATAATAATCATACTATCTTGATAAAAGACTGTAAAACCCTCTTTTCTGAGAAAGCTCTCCACGAGCAAGCACCACAAATGGGTTACTCCACTCAAAAAACTTAGAAGAATACAATACAGAAATGAGGTAACAGAGCTATCCATCAGCCCTACGGAAATCCAAGCAAAAACAATTTCAAAAGTTGTGCCCTTCAGCTGATCTGGAACACTTCAGAAATTTGTCATTCACACCATAGCAAAGTGATCCATTTCTACATAACACTCCCTGAAATAACAAGGAACTCATGGGCTTCTTGAAGGATAAAATTTCTGGAGAGTACAAAGCCAGCCAGCAAAGCTAAGCAGGATTTGTTACCAACAAGGGACTTGATGTCGTAAGACATACAAGAAAGCTAATTTACTTCTATTGAAACTATGGATTTAACAAACAAGGAAGCTCTCTTCAAATTGCTTACGACCTCAGGAAAATATAGAACTGGGAAGACTGGAGTTCATTTCGTTCTGACTTACAAGCTTCAAACGAGCAGCCTCATTTGAAGCTCTATATGAGAATATTTTTCAAGTGTCATAGAAATGACACCTACATGTTCTCACAAGAAAGTGATAAACCAGGACTTGCTCCCTCCTTCAGAACTGTCACACAAGAAGCAATCCAGACAACTTTGGCCCTAAAAATTGCCTCTTGTTCTTTCCAGTTTATCTAGTTATTCAACTATTTTAAATTAATTTCCAATTCACTGGCAAATTCCAGTCAGTCTCATAAGCTGCTCTGGCATGCACGGTAGCATTTAATATTTGCAGTAGCTGAACACAGACAAGCATTTACACCTGCCCAAGCAACCTCTTACACAGGACCTACCTAGCTGGGCAAACCTGTGGGCAGACGTCGCCCCCCAAAACTGCAGAAAATAAAAGCGGGGCCTCGAGACACACTTTTCCTCTGGCAACGTTCTGCACCTCAAGGGGGGCCTGGCAAGCACGAGGGGAGCGGGCTGCGTACCAGTTCCTCAGGGCGAGCCCGGGAGGGAAGAAGGATACAGACCCGCGGGACTCGGGTCGGGGTGGGGTGGTCCCAGGAGGCACTACCGTTATTGACGCACAATGGAGCGGTGCGAGGTGCTATACAAACAAACACAGAGCCGACAGCTGACTTGGAGAGGCAGGCCTCGACGACGTTACCCACCCCCACCCGGGCCGGGGGGCGCAGACACTCCCCGCCACCCCTCACCTGGGGCCGGCACGGCGGGAGGAGGCGGGGGGGGCCGGCCTCCGCCCCCCCGG